ATATGTGTATGCCATCAAAGACGCAATTCTTCGGGCTATATCGGTCACTAATGGTTCTTCTGCGGATCTCCTCATTTCTGATTCGATCATAGATAACTCCGAGCATAGCCCTCTCCATTTCGAGTGACTCTGAGCTTGTTGATGGGGCCCATAGTTAGCAACCACGTCTCTGTTCCGTAAGTCATCACTGGCAACACACATTGGTCGTAAACCTTCGTCTTGAGACACTGCGGAAATTTGGACGAAAAGATATATCGGAGATTCCCGAACGCTGCCCATCCGAGTTGGATTCGACGATTGACCTCTTTCTCGAAATTGGATCTACCTAGCTGGATAGATAAGTATACGTAGTGATCGACAATTTCGAGTGTAGAAATACCGATTTTTACGGGAGCAGGTTACATGGACTGTGTGTAATTTTCGTCTTGTCCAAATTCATTTTAAGACCTACTCCTTGTTCTACTGAGGTCTTCGAGCATTTTGCTAAGGTCTTCCAGGGTCTCAGCCATAACCACGATATCGTCGGCAAATCGAAGGTGATTGATGTACTCGCCGTTAATGTTAATGCCCAGCCCGCTCCAGTCGCGGTAAGTAGCTTTGGCGATATGACATCGCCTTGCCTGACACCTCGCTGCAGTTGGATAGGCTTTGAATTTTGGACGTGGAGGCGAACTGACATAGTGGCGTTTTCATACAAACATTTCAACGCTTCGATATATCGATAGTCAATTTGGCACCGCTGGAGAGACTGTAGCACAGCCCACGTCTCGATCGAATCAAAGGCTTTTTCATAGTCCACAAACGCCAAGCAAAGCATTGAGAAGTTCTATGGACAGTTATACACGACAACACGGGCACCTGTTAACAACACGGCGAAAGACCCTAGAGCCAAATTAACCCGACACTATACCGAAGATATCCCGAACGTCAGCCTGTACGAGATTGGTATGGCTCTTAAACAACTTAAAAACAACAAGGCGCCGGGCGATGCGTGGAGTTACTGCTGATTCTGAGGGCTGGATCTGTTCTACGAATCCTCCAGAAGCTATTCAACTCCGTCATCCACGAGGGCAAAACGCCTCAAGCGTGGCAAAGGGGTGTGGTGGTTCTGTTCTTCAAGAGAGGGAGACAAACGCTTCTGAAGAACAGACCCGTAACACTGCTGAGCCATGTTTATAAGTTGTTTTCGAGAGTCATCACGAATCGTCTCGCGCGCAGGTTTGACGACTTCCAGCCTCCCGAACAAGCCGGGTTCCGAAAAGGCTTCAGTACCATAGACCACATTCATACGCTGCGGCAGGTAATTCAGAAGACCGAAGAATACAACCTGCCACTTTGCTTGGCGAACTGTAATTAGGGTATTATTGTCATTATTATTAAATACCAGTATCGACCCGTGACTTCGTCTGCGCTTTTGATAAAACATAGCATGGGTCCGTCCTCTTTGTATAAAGATAACAAATAAACAAACAGAGAGACATTATAATATTAGTATATAAGTATGGATATCGTGTATGCAATAATGATATTTTTTATTTTATTATAATAAGCCTTGTAATCTACTAGATTTTTTGGAATCGGACCACTTACGAGCAAGACATGACGTAAGTATACCTATACAAAAGAAATACAGACGATTTGATAATGATTTCATATCGGATTTCATTAAACATGGATTGAAAAAATCACAGATATAGATAATGAGTAATTGATTGAAGGAAGTATATCAGAATTATATTGACTGTGTGTGTTTTTCAATAAAATATATTTTTGCTTACTGTTCTGTATACTTACTGTTATTTTTTTAACGCTTTTCATTAGGAAATGCATGCAGATACAAGTAAGTATGTGCATAAGATGGAGACATTATTAGTCAAGAAACAAACATTATGTTTTATAAACAAATAAGAGACCGCCGTGGCTTCGTACAGATGCATTACAAAGATTTAATTTCTCGACTTGTTCTATACTATAACACGCATATATTATAGATATAAACCTTCCTCTTCAATCACTCTATCTGAAAACTTGATTAAAATCCGTTGCGTAATTTATAAGACATAAACAAACAGAAGGCGGATATTTTATTTCATACTATATAAAGATGAAGTAAAATTGAATATGCACTGTTTAATAAAAAAAGTGAAAATATCTGCAAACATTTAGTTGCAAAAAAAACTTGGTACCACAGTTACATACGAAAAATATTTTGTTCTATGAAACGCAAGCGTGTCAACACTATTAACAGGCTTGTGTAATAGCACAGATAACATAAGTAATAGTGTTTATTAGTAGTCAACATAGAAATTTATTTTTAATTATTTTAATATATTAAATGAATAATATCCCATTATTCATTTAATATATTAAAGAAATACATTGTACGATAGGCATTCTCAAAATATTTTAACAAGTTTGCAACAAAATATGTATTGATTAACATGTTTTGTTTAACACATATTTTAGACCACTTAGTTTAGTGGAGTATGAGACATTTACTTACAAAATTATTTTTATACAGATTTTATATTACGTAATTCATAATTTACTATCAGGTGAGCCGTTGTTTTGTTATTGCATTCAGTTAAAAATTCGTTGGTGCAGTTGCCCTAAATCTGATATAATACATGTATAATATAAATTGTTATTTGGTAGAAACGCAGTGTTAATATTGTAATTAGATGTAGATAAGCAGAGAGGATTCAATCCTATAAAGTCAGTTTTGAGTTATTGATGTTTAAAGTCCATAATTGTAGATATATACTCATTAATGACGCAATATTCAGACTTTGACGTTTATTAACTAAATTAATCATATTTTATATCTATAAACTTCTATAAGTAATTATCTTTGTATATTATAAAATCATAACGGAATTCAATTATATATATTCCGATATAAAGAACATATATATAATATTATGTTTAAGTATAAACGATGTATTACACTTTGTTCTATTAATTTCAGCTACTTTCCAAATTTGAATGAAAGTTATAAAGTATTTTTAAGATGTATAGTACACGCGATGTCATAACGAAGACAATAAATGTTAAATACTCTCTTTTTATTTAAAATAAAACTGGTAACGATATAATTTTATTATGGTATTCATATACCATATATGTATATACTATAGGTCAGTATTATGAGTCATAGAAGTTACAAAAAGAATAACAAAATTACTCTATTTGACAAATAAAGAAAGAAATAGTAATTAAATTCATTATGGATCTACAGTAAATTGTGAACAATTTAAAACAATATAAATAATTAAAGAGAAACAAAATACTTATAAAATCAAATTCAAAGGATACAAAACTGATATTGTATAGGTACTGACTAGACCATTAGTTGATCATATTAGAACGGTTACTTGTCCATTTATATAGTGTAAACATAATTTTTATATATCCATGTTAGGTTTAATCCCCTTAGGTAATTTAATGATCGATTATTTTATTTCCTCACATACAATTAGTAGCAGTCTCAAGATTAATAATAATGCAGATTAGCTATGGTTTTGTATTATAGATATGGGTAGATAAAACGATTTGTCTGCTGTATTAATAATATAAAATGGTATACTTTATTTCTTTGTGTGTGTCATTATTTTAATAACTTATGATATATTTTTTTTAATCAAACATATGCAGCAAAATTTTTATCTTTGTTTCGTACAAATTTTGGCACAATTCTAATCTATATATGCTAACGTCGTTTATACAGATTTTCTTAAATTTGTTTATCATACAAATTTTGCCTCAATAAGTTTGTGACTTCTATATACACATAATTATTTTCTGTAGATTCATAACACGAAATAATTTGAGGTATGGCAATTATAGTAAGATATTTAAAAATTGAGTTGATTGAATACTTACTTACGTACTTATTACAAAATATTTAATATTTTGATGTATTTTGCTAATAATTCATTCGGATTAGAATCTTAATCGAATTAAGAATATCATGTATCTTAAATATAATTACACTATAAGAAGTTTGAGGCTACATTTAAGAAAACTCGTAGAAGCGACGCGAGGGTATGTAGAATTGAATAACTGTGCTACTGATAAACGTTATCTTTATAATCGCTTTCGAAGCCTATTTCTCATACGCTCAACTATAAATATGATTAAATAATAAGCATTGGATGTTATTCAGACATTGATACATTCATTAGTTGCAAGCAACACCAACAAAATGCGTGTGCTCTTCCTTGTGGCTTTGACCGTTGCTGCGGTGTCAGGTATGTACGCAAATTTATAAAAAAAACTTAAGATAAAATACTTTTTCCATCTTTAAAAAAATAATGTCTTTGGAAACATAACAGGAATATCGAAATTAATTGTATTACATGTAATGTACACATTCAATACATTTGAATCATATTTGTAGCTGGATGATAATTATTTTGCAATATCTAATATAATATCAATTCATGTACTTAACTGTGGATAGTAATATTGAATACTCAGATTGAATCTCACAGACCGTGATGATCTGATTAAGCTGTAAGCGAACGCTTACGGTAAGCTCCTTTTAAGCGTTAGTAATTTTGCCACTCATTGTAGTTAAGTGAATGAGCGCAATATCGCCTTTTACATTTTATCATTTAAAAAATTTAAATTGATAATCAATAACAAATTTATGCTCAATGAAAATTTATTTATTTAAATTAGAAATCCAATGATTTTTCAAATTTACACAAAAGTTTTTTTTCGAGTAGGTTTTTCTATACTTCTAGGATAGAATATATTTGGTACCGTATAACATAGTCTATATAATATAATAAATTCACTGCTGAATTGTGAAGTTTACATATATATATATACACATCTCCACAAAAATATATGTATGTAAACGATTAAGCATATGTACATAATATATAATAAGATAGATAAATATATAGGTATATATTATGTTTAATATGTGTTACGTACTGAAAACAAAATATTTATGCCAGATTCATCAACAACAATATGATTATTGTTTTCAGCTGTACCCAGAAACCCGCAGAGAATTGTGGGTGGGGAAGTCACCAGTATTGATCAATGGCCTGAGATGGTTGCATTGCTCTTCTCATGGACTGGATCCACATGGTCCCAGTCTTGCGGCGGTTCAATCATTAACAACAGATCTGTCCTCTCTGCTGCTCATTGCTTTGTGTAAGTAAAACTAAATCTAGATAATAAATAAAAAGCAAGTAAACCGAAGGAGTAGAGAAAGAAAATAGTAGGATAAATAAAAATGGTTCCTAGATGCCATAACAATACTTATGCATAGTAGGGATAGAATTTACCGACACTCGAGTTCAAATTAGTATTTTGAAATGTAGTTAGTGCATAACCTTTTATCCCAAAACTTTATTAATAATTTGACAACCTATAATACGAATACATTCTATAACTTAAAACGACGAAATAAACATAGATGATTTAGTTCAGTTTTCATATTTCTCTTATTACAGACTGACTCTTAATGCAATTACTTTACAATAAATTGAAATGACATAAAAGCATATAAAATCAAATAGAAATTAGAATCTAATAATTTATATCACATATTGTCGACAAGCATACGGCTTATCGTAATGTTACTGTAGCCTATGTAATGGATGTCAATAAACTTTCGATAATTACACAATCGGACAAATACCATTGACTATATCAATATTATCTAATCAATATGAAGTCTATTGAGCTGAAACTTAAGAAAGTTAAGACAGGTATAAACTGCTGCAAGTTGAAACTGATTTCAGATAGTGCAGCAAAACACAAATTTAGTAAGTAATATCTAGAAGTATTGTTTATGAAAGCTTTCTTTAATTTTAGAGTTACTTTTCTCGCATGAGGTTTTTAAAGAAGGGTATATTCAGGCAACGAGCACGTTCCACCCTTGGTTTTCCAGGTGTCCATAGACAACCGTATACCATCAGATGGGCCGTATGCTTTTTTGCCAAAGTCATAGTATAAAAAAAGCGTAGTAAAAATATCCTAGTATAAATAATAAAACTCAACCTATTTTTTTTCTCGAATTACTGTAAATAATATAAATCATAATATTACAAACCCATTCCATCCTCATCTACATGTTAAACATAATTTACAGATATAATCCTAAATATTCTGTATACTGGCAGTGCTGTAGTCAATATATTTTCAATAATTCCATAATGTATCTATTAATATACTCGATGATGTTGGATTAATATAAATTCTATACAGCTAAACCTATTGCAAGTTAATAATCTATTGCAAGTTGTAGTTAACTGTAGACAGGCAGTGCAGCTTCCTTAATTATAGAATCACGTTAAGATAAATAATTTTTGAGTTTATTTTAAATCGGTTGGGTGTAGTGGGAAACAAATGTAAATATATAATTTAAAATAGTTTGATATAAAAAGTTTGTGAAATCTTTACCTCATTTAGAAATTTAGTGGCTCACCTTTAAGCGCCAGAATAGACAGATCTACGTAAAATATAGCTAAGAAGAATGTTAGCATCATGACAGCTTTCGATCAAATAAAACCGCATCATAAACAATAATAAATATTTATACATTTCTAGCGGCGACTCACCAAATAATTGGCGTGTTCGTGCTGGATCCACGAATGCTCACAGCGGTGGCATCGTCCACGAACTTGGACAAATCATCATCCACTCAGGCTACAGTTCCTCTACTTTGGATAACGATGTCGCAATTCTGCGTGTTTCTTCAAACTTCGTTTATAGTAACGTAATCAGCGCTGGCAGTATCGCTGGTACTAACTACAATCTCGCTGACAACCAAGTGGTCTACGCCACTGGATGGGGTAGAACTTCCGTAAGTATTTATTTTTTAACTTTGGATATTATATAGAGGTATATAGTTCTGATATCTATGTAAATATTAAGAGATACTGTACTGTACACATTATATAAACAGGATATTTACCATGAAAATAAAGGCCGATATTTCGACGCTGTTACAAATCCTTTCTCCTTCTAATTATGTCCTTATTGATGGCTATAATATTGTCATGATTAATATCCCATTTATAAAATGTGTACAATTGTAAACAATTACGGAAAAAGTTCAAACAAAGTACAGTATTTTTGTTCTGTAGTTGCAACTGGTTCATATTTACCTATTGTGAGCTTACTAGTAGAGTAAACTAATGTACTTTAGTACTATTGGAAATAGAAGCCGAAGATATTCGTTGATTTGATAGAAAATAAATATTCCCATCAACGTAGCATAAAGTTTTTTAGCAATTTGAAACTTTTAGTCTTCAAGAGTGGTAACAAACACAGACAGCCTCTCGTTTGTTATATTACGCGTATCTTGTTCTATAGCAAAAATAGCTATAAATATTTTATTATTTATGTTATAATATTTTATTTTATTAGTATTACAATTTTACTGATAAACTAATTTGTTAATTATTTCAGCCTAGTGGACCACTATCAGAGCAATTACGCCAAGTGCAGATCTGGTCCATTAACCTAGCCACCTGCAGAAGCCGTTATGCTGAGCTTGGTGCTATTGTGACTGATAACATGTTGTGCTCCGGCTGGTTGGACGTTGGCGGTCGCGACCAGTGCCAGGGTGACTCTGGCGGTCCCCTCTTCCACAACGGTGTCATCGTCGGTGTTTGCTCTTGGGGATACTCATGCGCTACTGCTCGCTACCCTGGCGTCAATGCTCGCGTTTCCAGTTACACAACCTGGATACAGGCTAACGCCTAAACCAGTTATAAGTAGTAAATTATATAATATTGTATTATGAGCTTAGAACCTTTTTAAATTGTTGTTTTTTTTAATAAAATTTATACACAAGTATATTAAAGTACCTTATAGACTTCATGTTACCTGTATCTATGTGCCCATTGCGTTCTAAATCTGTAAATTTTCAATAAGACTTGTAATTCTGGTATATCATAATTATAAATTATATAAAATATATTTTTTTCTTTCTACTTCTACCTATACTAATATACCTCTAATGACAGGTACATATTAGCATATGTAGAGGGGTGCTGACGACTCTCCATCTGATTGCCCTATATGAAACGACTGGTTAAGTGGTGATATGACATCATTATTATTATTTATTCATAATTAAGTAGTGAAATTGTCTTCGTGTACATTTTATGACATATTTTTACCCGACGGCGACTAAAGTCCAATGTGCATTTAAGTGCAGTACAAATCTGCAATATCAGAATAATATCTTACTATACTTAATAAAATTATATAATAAATTACCTGACAGAATAAAATAGGAGAATAAGTACACTAGACGTGTTAGCGTATAAAACCAATTCCTGATAATTAAAGTATTATTGATGTATATTTTCTAGAAAGTATTGAATAAGAATATTACAAATATATCAATAGGTTTGCCTCTCTTTCATATTGGTATATCCAATAATACTATAAAAATAGTGTCTATGTGTTTATTAAAGTGTTTTAAACTAGTACAATGTAATTAATTAAATAAATAATTAGTTTATACCTATGTATGACATGTTACTCCTCCTAAATAGTTGGACTTTCAACTATTATAACTGACTATTTCAACTATTCTGACTATACTTTCAGAATGTATAAAACGAGAAGAAAACTATAATTTACAAAAAAAAGGCTGAAACAATTATTGACTAGACTAGATGTAGAGTAGAAGCTAAGCAGATGCTACAGAGACTTAAATTTCAACTTTAATTTAGTCGTAACGAACCGACAGACGTTCTGACGCTTTTGGCTATTAATAAATTAGTATGGAATAAGTCCTCTACGAAATAGCTACGCTTTTTAACAGAATCCATGTGAGTATTGTTTATTTATTGTATATGCCATTATAAATAAATAAATACATTTTATTTGTATCTGTTGTTTTTGTTATAAAACTGTAGGTACTTTTCGAAGCAGGTCTGGTCAGCTACTACCGAATTTTATAAGTACCTGTCTACATAATCTGTAATTTCATTGCAAACCGAAAAGTGGATTGCAAAGCAAGCTACTGCCAGAATTGGGTTTATCAGAGATATTTTATTTATGTTCCCTGAGGAATGTTGACATGCAGTGACTAGTAGTAGCTAGAATACATACATATTATACTTTTAATGATGATGATAGTGAATGAATGAATGAAACTCTTTATTGTTCCTCACACAGAAAATACAATTATGTATAAAATGATAAAAAAAAAATATATATATATAATACAATAAACAAGACAAAGAGGTAACAATAATTCCTAAGGCGTGAAATATTCGTATATACTCATAAATAATATATAAATCTAAAAATAAAAAAAGAAACCAAACTCAATTATAATTTAGATAAATATTATCTGGGGCAATATGGAATTAAAATACATTGATTATAAAAATAATCATCAAATCCACTTTCCGAGAAGATACTTATCAAGTAACATTCACACATAAAAAATTCTTCTGGCAGTCGTTATAAAAGTAGCCTCAGCATTTTTTTTAAACATATTCGTAATTATACGACTGTATAAAGATTGGTGTGAGGTAAGGAACTAAAGAAATGAAGCAAAATTTGCGTAATTAATATTTAAAGGAACGGAGACCACAGAATAGGCGCATTCTAATTTTAATGACTGATGAATGATTTCAATTCTATCCTACTTTGATATCGTGGATGATCTTGAATAGAAAACTGAATATGGATTCGATTAATTCACTTAATGACTAAGCAATATAGTCGTAAGTATTCAATTAAACAGTACAGAAAGTAGTGTAATGTATGAAACTCTTTGTTATTACACGGAAAATATAGTTAGGTAGTCAATAATGTATAAAAAGATAAAAACATTTAATTACAATGAGTAAGAAGAAATAACAATGAACAAAATATAAAAATGAGCGGAACGTCATATTTCAAAAGTCGATCTATCGCAATTGGTTACAAGTGTAAACTGGCAGGTAAATTTAGACTGGAAGAAAAAATTGCGCAAAATTAACATTCCAACTTGGTTAAGAACCAGTTTGAATGTTGATTTTACGCTATTTTATACTAATTCTGAATATGCTAGTAAATTTTTATCCATCCATAAATTAGAATTGGTATACAATTGAATAATTACACGTTTTTTAAAAAACATTTTTAAATGTTTTGTATAATATTGTACTAACGTTATAGAATAAATACCAGGTGTTGTTACTATCGCGTACATATACACATATTTAACAGTATACTATTATAATTGTCTATGAGTATTAAACGATACAATGAAACGCTAAAACAAAAGAACTCGTTCGCTTAAAAAAAATACTCTCGATTAGCATTTCTATTAAAATATCGATAGATATAGCTACATAGCTAATCATGCAGAAAAACAACCACAGTAAAATGCCTGCGCCGGGCAGTGCAGGAAATGGGTATTTCTCATTACAGAATCGAAACGTTTAAGGCATACTGTGCAATAGACAAGTTGAAAAAAACTTAAACCATACGATAATGTATATATTTGCTTATAAACAAACTATAATAGTAACATTTTTATTGCAAACATATAATTGTAATGCGTAGATTATAAAAATGCAAGTGAACTGAGTCGTTAGCATATGTAGATTAGAACCAATGTGCTACTGATAAACGTTATCTTTATAATCGCTTTCGAAGCCTATTTCTCATATGCTCGACTATAAATATGATTAAATAATAAGCATTGGATGTTATTCAGACATTGATACATTCATTAGTTGCAAGCAACACCAACAAAATGCGTGTGCTCTTCCTTGTGGCTTTGACCGTTGCTGCGGTGTCAGGTATGTGCCACATTTATGCAAAAAATAAGAATTTGTTTCACAAAAAATGATTTTTCTATATAGACATAATTATTTTCTCTGGATTTATAATATTGAAAGTGAGATATGACAATTACATTAAAATATTTTAAAGTTGAGTCGATTGAAATCTACTTACTACAAACGATATTTAATATCTTTCCGATATATGAAGGCTTAAACGTCAGGGATAACCTTCAGATGGAATTATTAGTATTAGGGTGTAGGTTTTCACCATAAAATCTACAATTTTATAACAATGTCAGGTTCAGTTGGTGGACTCTGGATACGATCATAGTGAATACGCTTGGAATGATCTGACTTCATGCTCATGCTATCATCGTCCACTGCTATCGTCTATCTATATACATTCTAACGTATCGTCCACTAGCGTATGCCATTACATCATCATTACATAGTACAGTCGCTGTCGCTGTCGCTGTCGCTGTCTATCCCTGTGTGCATAAATCTTTAAAACCATGCAACAGAATTTGAAGCGGGTTTTTTAATAGATAGAGTGATTCAAGAGGAAGGTATATATACAAGTAAACCCGTGCGAAGCCAGGGCAGGTAGCTAGTCAATTAATAAAGAACCGTCGACGACAGGAAGAGGGACAGGATTGTTAGTAATCTTATTGCTACCATTACGTAATGTACAATGACAGGTTTCCCTTTACTTGGTCTCCCCTGTAAATTATGGGTTACTAGCCTGACTTCATATTTAATATTCTTCCATTGATTGTGCTAGCCGTTACTGCAGTAGGTTGCGTCATTCGATTAATTACATTCCATAAAAATATATCAAAAGTTATATCAGTACAACTATTATAATCTATCATTGCATGTATACAGATACTCACATCATAAGATTATTTTTTACATACACAGTTTGTAAAGATTAGTTTTAAATGTTACTATTTAATAGATTTTGACGACAACACGACGACATTTGCTCAATTTTCAAGTAGATGCAGGCTTAGAAGTCTCCAAGTACTTGAAAATTTGGCTTACACTTATTATTATAGGTTATTTATAGTATATAACATTATATAATATTTATGTATGAATGAAAATCTGTGATATTGTGAATTAAAAATAAGTGTATATCACCTAACAAGTTATTAACACAGCGGTCTCAAATGTGCCGTAATGTATTATCGGTTCGGAAAAGTATATAAAGTATATAGATATATACATATGAAAGGTCAAGCCCTAAATATTAAAGCTGCACAGTTAAAAATCGAACTATATGCAGTGAATGTTATTTCTATAAACTAAGTAAAATGATAGAAGTAAGATCAGTAGTCGAGTATATGAAATTCGGGTATGCAACGAAACAAATGAGTACCTAAACTAGACGAATAAGAATAGTAGTTTAGACATTATAAAAAAAATCTGAGAAATCACTTCAAAATCTATTTATACACGACTAATATATACGCGATAATTATTGTCTAATCTATATAAGATTAGATAAGGATTACGCTGTGTAACACATTTAGAACTTAAATAATTTTTACGTCAGACTTATCAATGTAAATGTGATTATTGTATTCAGCTGTACCCAGAAACCCGCAGAGAATTGTGGGTGGGGAAGTCACCAGTATTGATCAATGGCCTGAGATGGTTGCATTGCTCTTCTCATGGACTGGATCCACATGGTCCCAGTCTTGCGGTGGTTCAATCATTAACAACAGATCTGTCCTCTCTGCTGCTCATTGCTTTGTGTAAGTAAAACTATATAAGAAGATATATAAATAAGGAGTTCAAAAGAATTATTATCCTAAAGACTGTTAGGACAAAAAACAACCAGTTACCACTAGTAACAGTATCTACCGGTTCCCGCAGGACGTGATAAAAATATTATTATAAAACAAAGTCAATATCTTATCTTATCATTATCCTTAAAGCGATTATTTTTCATCTATAATATTAAAGACACAAGCAACGTCTCTGATGCAGATCATTTTACGTTGAATTTTTATAATAGTATTAGTATAATAATATTCTTACAGCCCGTCAATGCAATTACGTGACAATGAAATAGAAAATCTATAAAATCATATAATATTAAAATGCTATACAATACTATGTTTTTCAACTCCAATAGTTCATAGTGGAGAATAAGTATAGGACTCATTGCATCTAAAGTCGTGCACCTAATTATTTGCGTGTCCATTCGGTCAGTAGTGGCTCTCAGTAGTGCCTGTCAGTGCAATATATTTTCAATAATTCCGTAATGTATCTATTAATATACTCGATGATGTTGGATTAATATAAGTTCTATACAGCGAAACCGCTGTATAGAACTTAAAATACAGCTTAACTGTAGACAGGCAGTGCAGCTTCCTTAATTATAGAATCACGTTAAGATATGTAATTTTTGAGTTTATTTTAAATCGGTTGGGTATAGTGGGAAACAAATGTAAGTATATAATTTAAAATAGTTTGATATAAAAAGTTTGGGAAACCTTTACCTCATTTAGAAATTTTGTGGCTCGCCTTTAAGCGCCAGAATAGACAGATCTACGTAAAATATAGCTAAGAAGAATGTTAGCATCATGACAGCTTTCGATCAAATAAAACCGCATCATAAACAATAATAAATATTTATACATTTCTAGCGGCGACTCACCAAACAATTGGCGTGTTCGTGCTGGATCCACGAATGCTCACAGCGGTGGCATCGTCCACGATCTTGGACAAATCATCATCCACTCAGGCTACAGTTCCTCTACTTTGGATAACGATGTCGCAATTCTGCGTGTTTCTTCAAACTTCGTTTATAGTAACGTAATCAGCGCTGGCAGTATCGCTGGTACTAACTACAATCTCGCTGACAACCAAGTGGTCTACGCCACTGGATGGGGTAGAACTTCCGTAAGTACTTATTTTTTAACTTTGGATATTATATAGAGGTATATAGTTCTGATATCTATGTAAATATTAAGAGATACTGTACTGTACACATTATATAAACAGGATATTTACCATAATAATATTATTTAAAGGCCGATATTTCGACGCTGTTACTAATCATTTCTCCTTCTTATTATGTCCTTATTTACTATTACTATATTTACTGGTATTTATAACATTACTAATGAAGTAAAGTAACAGTCCTTAGTACTATTGGGAATCGAGCAAATGACCAATGATAATCGTTCTCTAACAGCGAAGAGATTATTAGTGATAAGGGTTTGTGGCCTTATCAAGTCAACATCCCTGCGGTTCCCCCTGGAAACTGTCGTGGTTAATTCTTGGTGAACATCTTACAGTGGACTGACTGAACTGAGTTCATTTTTCTATCACCATTTTCCACCCGCCAGCTTATATCGACGTACGATATCTTTAATTTATAAAGAACAAATGTAAAGAAGAATATATTATGGTTATATGTACTACTTTAGATTTACTTATAATTTTATTGATATTTTAATATTTCAGCCCGGTGGACCACTATCTGAGCAATTGCGTCAAGTGCAGATCTGGTCCATTAACCTAGCCACCTGCAGAAGCCGTTATGCTGAACTTGGACTCACTGTGACTGATAACATGTTGTGCTCTGGCTGGTTGGACGTTGGCGGTCGCGACCAGTGCCAGGGTGACTCTGGCGGTCCCCTCTTCCACAACGGGGTCATCGTCGGTGTTTGCTCTTGGGGATACTCATGCGCTACTGCTCGCTACCCTGGCGTCAATGCTCGCGTTTCCAGTTATACTACCTGGATACAGGCTAACGCTTAAACCATGTATAGATACTTACTTATATGATATTAAATTATGAGTTTCAACTTTTTTCAATTAGTTTCATTTTATAAAATTTACGTATTATAACAAAAGCTGGTATGCAAAGTCTTACATTATCAGCATCAATGTGTATTAACTCACTGCATTCTAAATCTACTAACTTGTATTTCATTTTCAGTCACTCTAACGTGACATATCTAATTTAGAGAGATCATAAATTTATTTTTGTAGTGTCAGTAGGTACCAATATGTATATAATCATTTCTAATAATTTAACAAGAACATTATTATTCAAATTGATGAACTAATTAATACCCAGCGCAAAGCTATCATAGAGGAAAATGCGACACGCCCTGTAAATTGATTATACTGTATTTACTATACTTTACTTCTACTCTAGTATTTTAAAAAAATTGGTCTGAAATGTGGTACTAATTTTTGGTCAGGTTATGTTAATTTTATAAATCCAGTTACAAAGGCATTTTTTTGTGGATGATAATGAAATGATGCCCCCGCCTGCGCTAACGGTTTACGTTAGCACCAGTGGAGGATGATAAGATGAATATGAGGTCAGGTCAGTTAGCCCATCATGACAAATTCACTAGGAATTTGTCACGATGGTTTCCAGGGGGAATCGCGTGGAGGATCTAGCAATGTACCGTACATTGCTAGCAATCGGAATTACTAGTTCCCATTACCTACAACCCCTTCCCCCCTTACCCAGGGGTTGTTGCCCCCAGAGTTGATGTGGAGTGTAATTGCTAGTAATAAGTTTGCAAAGTTTTATCGCAATGTAATCAACGATGTGGCGGTGTGTAAAATACAAAGAATCAGATATTTATGTACATAAGTACATTATATGAACTTCAAAATAATAAATAACTACACTATTAGTTAATAGTGTAGTCAAACGTAGTAAAAATTTGTATATATTATTTAATTTATACACCCGTAATATTAGTGAAATATATTTTTTATAAGTACTCACTCTCCGCACTGAAACACAACTTGCAATCATCTAATATTAGAAACATAGTATACAATGATACTTAACAAAATTAATTAATAATATCGGTTATTCATTACTAAATTCAATAAACATATATAACTATATAATAAAACTTGGCAGAAATAGGTGAATAATTAATTGTAGGTTCTATATATTGTTACTTTATACAAGAAAATCATACAAAAATATAAATTTATTCCCTTTTTGCTATACTGGAATGCTAAAGAAGCTGATAGCCCACTTAATTGTAAATGTTAAATATCGTCTATATACTTGAACGGTACCACACATCTTGTCATGATGGCCGTCGTAAAATATGAGTTGAGTTTCCCTAGGACTAAGATGTTAAGTATCCGTTCCTTCTAATTTCACTGCCTCAATTCTTCTACCAAAATCCACCCTAAAAGCAAATATAATAATAACAACCTTAGGACAATTCACAAAGCGCTATCTAGACCCAAGTTAAGCTTGTGTTACGGGTATTAGATGACTCGTACAAATACATAGATTTTCTTTTTCATAAATGCCTTGTCATGTCCTTTGTCAGGGCCTAAAATATCTGTGTGTCAAATTTCAATTAAATCGGTTGAGTAGTTTTGGTGTGAAAGCGAGACAGACAGACAGAGTTACTTTCGCATTTATAATATTAGTAAGGATGTGATGCGTAAGTTGGGCAAAAGTGTAGTAGTAGAGCCGAATTTCGAGTGCTGCAAAATATTTCGTAAAATTGTCAACTGAATTTAAGCAAATATTGTCAAAATTTGCAAATGTACTTTAATTTAGTAAATGATCGTACCCATAGTAATTTATTATCGGATATATATAGTCGAGCAGATATTATCAACATTGTAATTAGGACACGACATAGATATAAGGCGTAACAGTTAAAATTTATTACGTGCATCAGTTAGATAAATTATTATGGTGAATCCCCGAACCTTCTCGTGAGATATATATATATTACACTATACAATAATATTGTTATAATGCGTCTTGATAAATATCATATTAAGAAGAGAATAAGGAACTGGATGGATCTCTTGCTTCTATAGAAACCTGAAATTTTGCACGTGTCTATTACAACATCAGAGATATTTCGACCCTATAGGGTAAGATAAGAGTCAAATTTAGCATAGATTTATGTCATCTTTAAAATAAATTATACTAATCAATATTATACTCTTATACTTTTATTTTTTGTATTTACTTTCTGTAATATATTTTAACTCGTGTGTAACACTGGCGTACTCGTCGTCTTCGATATCCGTTCAGCCGTTTAGTCGTGTGAAGGTAATAAGACAGACAGACTCTTGAATTTATAATAGATATTAGTATGAGTGTTTTACTAGAAGTGTAACAGTAAGTATAAGTAAGGTTATTTTTTTAATTGTACCGTTTAAGAAGTTAATATTGCCGTTTAAGATGAAAGCTTCTAAGAAAGTAAGTATATTTTATGTTAAATATATGTAAATGAGTATTCAATATGGAAGTACAAACTTGCAGAAATTTTTAAAAGGCTACCTTTTAAAAATAATATTTGATGCATATGTACATTCTGCACGAACATCGATTAATGATTAATTAATTAATTATGTTTATTGATGACCTCGAGTCAGATCGGGTCGATAGTATCATAATTAAATCATGGCATATTATAGGAATTAATTATGTACAAATAATTTCTATACTATATGCAACATTTCATGACAATTAGTTGAGTGTTAAGACGCTAAGAGGTGTTTACAATCTACTAAACTTAGAGACAAGTTTACTTTTAGATTTTTATATAACTCTTCTTTCTCCCATTTATATACTACGGCTAGGTCTAATTAAACTCTACATTAAAATTATCAAAATGTAGTTTATATAATTTTAATACTATTACAGATAAACAGACAGACTTACTGTCGAGTTCATAATATTAGTACGTAATTAAGGATGACGACTGCGTGATAATACTATTCAAAGACGCACCAAAATATATTTTTTGGCAGTAAATACTTATATACATCACTTTTTATCAAGAGGTTACATGTTGTTTTGATAAAATCCTATTATCGTTACACTACAGTTGGATAAATAATATTTTGTGATTGTAGTAGATAATTATTAATATAATAAGGCTACATAGCGTATATTCAACTAATTTAATGGTAGTATAAAGTGAAACCAGAAGTAGGACACGTGCGAAGTTGCAATACAAAATGCGTGTAATATTGGTGCTATGTGCTATAGGTGTTGCTGGGGTCTACGGTAAATAATTTATATCTGTCAAATTATTTCAGTATTATTGATTATAATAATTACATTCCACTAAAACTGAGACTCAATAATAATTTATTCGAATAAATTTATTCTCTTATGAAAAAGATTTTTAAGGAATATATGAATTTTACTGTTCTCGGTTCAGAGTGTCGTTTAGTTATAAACAATATGTATAATGACTTAACCAGAATTTTAATACCATGTGACCTGTGTATTAACGAATTTATTCATTATCGGTAGAGTCTCTTACGAAATGATAATTGTTTGCTACATTTTTATGTAAATTAAATACAAACAAGATGTCTCTGATGGACGGTAAGTAGCAACCGTCGTTTCTATACACGGGCAGCAAGGACATCACGTAACTATTTAATTCCCGTAGCTTATGCGTTGCTATTTCGCAGGACTAAGATATCCTGCTTCCGTTTACTGCAATTACATTGTCTTATCCTCAGTCTATAATTGAAATACTGGTGAGTGAATTAGACGAAAGTACCTCTACCTACGCAGAAGACTTTGTATAAATTTACCTGGGTAAAATATAATAACTTGTTACATACCAACCTTTAATTTTACCTTTTTAATACCAAATAGCACAGTACCTACTTCGTATTAATTGACACGCAATAGTCTACAATTGAATTGAACAATTAAATGCAAAATGATAATTTAAGTTCTACTAGTAATTTCTAGCGATTTCAAATTAAAATTAAAATTCAAAATATCTTTATTTATATAGGTCTATTACAGACTCTAATGATATGTCAAATCTACCGTCAGTTCGGAATGATTTCGAGATGAGAAGAACTGACAAGAAACTCAGCTCGTATTCTTTTCAAATTAATATTATACATATTTACAACAATACAAATTAATTTTTAAATTCAAACTTGGGAGAATAGAGTGACCACCAGCATATGCTATTTCAAAAGCAAATAGTCTAATCAGTGTATGCTACCCAAACAGACCAGTCCCCCTTTCAAGCAGCACCCGTTCGCGAGTATGAACTATTTCCGTTTCTAAATAGACATCAGTGCAGATAATTATTTTCTTCTCCTAGCCGTGCCAAAAGCCTCGCAGAGAATATCGGGTGGTACGCTTACTAACATCACTCAGTACCCTTCAGTAGCATCCCTCTTATATTCGTGGAATGGCGTTACATATACCCAAGCGTGTGCAGGAGTGATTATTAACCAAACATCTATATTATCTGCTGCTCATTGTTTTTAGTAAGTATTTTTATACTAATAATATGTAATATTTATTATCTTATCTGTGCTAATAATAAGAACCCAGGACAACTAACACAGTTCTATATAGTCCCGAGCTAACCAGAGTCTGGGTCATGGGGTACTAGACAACTGATAGATATACATTTTTTCTGTAAATACATCCATAAAATTAACGGCCTTGGTGGCCTTGCGGTTTAGTTGACCGCCTTACTTCCGAAGGTCGCGAGTTCGATTCCTCGCACGATATAAACATTTGAATTCATGAGTACCATTGTATGTGTCGGTCTGGGTGTTTTCTATGTATAATGTGTATGTATTTAGGGAAAAAAAAATCTATGTATTTCTTTTAAGTATTTAGTACCCATAACACAACCTTTAGTTAGCTTAACTTGGGGCTAGATGGTGCTGTGGGAATTGTCCTAAGATTACTATTAATTATAATTATTAAAATATATAAAAAATACTCATACCCAAATCATTTGTGATCTTTA